CATCTAGATGTGTATAAGAGACAGCCGATAGGGAGCACGTTTTTGAGCCACCATCGGTGATCGGTCCTGTAGAAACATTGCTCGGTCCTCTCGAGGACACACGCTCAATGGAGTAACAGCCAAGGCATGCGCTTCCATGAGTACCCAACCCCCACCCCGCCCACGAGCAGACGTGGTAGATAGTGTAAAGACGGGGCACACGCTGGGGCTTGTTCCTTTTCAATTCATAGACTCTCCGATTCAGGCGGACCCATAGCGCTTGACCACTGCCATTTTGCATTAGTGCTCTGTTTAGTATTATGGTCTACCGCAAACAACAATTGCGGTGATTGATTCGATTTTCCTGCGTTTTTCATCCCTCCCCTCTTCCCACCCGAATTTTGACTACACACTTGGACATTGGCTGGGCTGACTGCTGCGTAAAGTGTTTTGTCATTTCACGTTTCCGCTGCCTTGCCACTTTTTTTGCCGTGCAGGACAAGCTGCTGCCAGTACCCCTGTCCATAGATCGCTCACTTCATTTTTTTGTGAAAGTAGGCTTGCGGACCCTTCGGGTCCATTTTGTTTGAGCATATCGTTTTTGGGTAAGTCAAGCGTTAGATCAGTACGGACAGAGGAAGGTGCAAGCAACGAGATCGGAACGGTTTTAATGTGAACAACAGAGTTGTAATCGATCTGTGACGCTTGTTGACACGGTGTCGTTTTTTTGTTTTTCTAACCCAGGACGTCGACGAGTTTCTGCTTGTGTTCCTGGACCGGTTGGAGACGCAGCTGTCCGGCCTACCGCAGAGACGCCTTCTTCAACACGTCTTCGGGTGAGACAAGAGATCAACATGTTGAGCTCTGCCTCCCTGTCTTCTCTCTCCTTCTTCTCCTGGCATCCTTGCTGGGTTCCACTGATCAAGGAACTACGTTTCCACCAAATCACCTTCTTCTCCTTCGGACTCCCTGCGTACTTAGAGCCAATGCAAGAGTCAACCGGCACAAACAGAAACAGCCATACACATAAGAGTCTATTAAAGAGGGGCGGAAGAGTAGACGCAAGGGATGAACAGCCGTAGCGTGGCAAGCAGGTGCATAAAGAGGACGCTTGGGGCTAGCAGTTCTCGGGGATTCCTGATGTATTGGGAGCGCACGTGAGACGCATGGGCGTCCCACGGGCCGGCACGATAGGTCACCCCATGGGGCGCCCCATGGGACGTCCCACGTGTCGCATGGGCCGTCCCACGCTGTCCCACGGGTCCAAGGGGCGGCCCAACCCTAGCACTAGCCGTACCACGCGATCCACGGTTCCATGGGCGGCCAACGGCTCGCGCTGATCGCGCAAGGGACATTTGGGATGACGCGTCCCACGCTTGTCATTGGCGGCCCAAACCCCAACCCAACCCTGTTTCTACCCCAAAGACGTTCCATGCGTGCCGTTCCACGCCATCCCTCGCGTTCCATGGGCCATCCCATTCCGATAGGACGGCCCACGGGACGCGAGGGATGGCGTGGGGCGGTGCGCATGGGGCGCCTTAAACGTTAGGGCTAGGGCTGAACGAAGGTTTGGGCCGCCTATGAGAAGAGTGGGGCCGCCCACGCGTCTTTGTGGGAGGGTCCATTAGACGCCTTACGGTTAAGCACGTCCATGCGATGTGTGGGACGGCCCATGGGGCCCACGTTGGACGCCCGCGGGCCATTGTGCCGTCCACGGGACGTGCCAAGCGTCCAATGAGTTGTCCTAGATACCTGTCGCAAGTGTCCCATCGTGCGTCATCCAACGCGTCCCATGGGCAGCCCATGGGACGCGTTGGACACCTGGGACCTGGGAGGGTGCACGGGCATCACACGGGGAAGTCCCGCTTGGACTCCCAACAATGTAAACGAGTAGCCAGTAGCGTCGGTCTCATGGGATGCATGGGAGGGCAATATGGACCGTCCCACACGTCCCATTGGACGCGTGGGACGGCGTGGAAAGCCTTAAGGTCAGTGTTAGAGTTGGGTTAGGGTTGACGCCCACTAGACACGTGAAACAGCCCGTGCGTCCAAATGAGCCGCTCCAAGTATCCCATGGGACAGGTGGGACGGCCTATGAGCCCCCTTCAGGTTAGGGTTAGGATTGGGCTGCCCATTTGACGCGTGGTATGGCCCCTGGGACGTGCGTGGGACGCCCGTGGAATGCAAATGGGACGGCCCACCGTGCACGTGGAACGTCCCAAGCGTCCCATGGGCTGTCCTAGGCCGTCCCACACGCCCCATCGGAGACCAATAGGACGGCCCATGGGACGCTTTGGTCACCTGGGACGTGGCATGGGCGTCTCATGGACATTCCACGTGTGCACTCCCCAACAACGCATGAACCACGACCATCCCATCTATGCGTCTACGCGTTCGGCTCATGGGACGCGCCTCACGCGCGTCCCATGAGCCGTCCGTGTGGACCGTCTCATGCAACGTCCCATGGTTCGTCCCACGTGCCTCATGCGGCGTCCCATGTGACGCCCATGGGACATCCGACGCGTCCCATGGGCATTTCACGCGTCTCGAACGTGTGTCCCACACGGCCCATGGGACGCCTCAATGTTGGGGTTATGGTTTCGGCCGCCTATGAGACGCATGGGACAACCTACGCGTCACACGGGCCATCCCCAAGAGTCCCATGGGTCGGCAGTCCCATGGGTATCCCTGCGGGTTTGGTTCGAGGGTGTGTACCCTGCTCTTAAAATTTCTTGTCTACAGCCCTGCGCCCTACTCGTGATCATGGGAGAGTTTTTTTTTTTCGATTTCTCGCGATCCATGCGGTTCCTTTACCGTCGTCGCTGTTCGCCGACTTTATCTTTTTTGCGTGCAGGGGCCAGCTCTGCAACCAGCTGATAGGCGCGGAGGCTGTCTGCCCCCACGTGAGCGAGCGCCAGGAAGACTTCTTCGTCCTGGGTCTGGACGTAAAGGGCAAGCGGTCCATCACCGAAAGCCTCCAGCTCTACGTCGAGGGAGAGGTATGCTAAGCGCTCGTTCTTATTTTTGATGTGCTTCCTCAATCTTGGTAGACTATCGTTCTCTTCTTTTTATCCTCTCATGTTTTTGTCTGTTTCTTTCCAAACATCAACAGCAGCAGCAAGAACAACTGCTGTTACAGGAGGGCAACAATGCCTAAAGCAGCACCACTCGCCAACAGAATGACAATGACGGCAACGACAACACCTCGAGCAGTACATAGAGCGAGGGAAGGGATTGCTGTACCCTTCTCGCGATAAAAATATATCAGGCAGGAACCGCAGGAGGGGGTCCAACGCTCCCCCCTCCTATGCGACCCCGGTTGGGTCGTCTAGCTGGTAGAAGTGGAGGATAGGGGCCAGAGGGGCAGAAGACAGAATCCAATGATGGGAGACAAAAAAAAAAAAATAGAGCACAAGCCATTTTCACCCAGCACAACGCATCTGAACCAGTGACGACGGCAATAGTATTAACGACGACGACGACGACGATCATGGCGCACCCAGGTGCTCGCGGGAGACAACAAGTTCCTCTGCGCTCAGTGCAACGAGAAACGAGACACGCTCAAGCGCACTTGCATCGCCCGCCTCCCTAACGTCCTCTTCCTGCACCTCAAGCGGTTTGAGTTCGACATGATGGAGATGAGAAAAGTGAGTGCCTCGGGGACGGAGGGGTTTCGAGAGGGTCTTTCTTGTGGGGTGCGAGAGAACATGCAATTGGCATGGTGTTTGGTTTTTCTACTTCGAGGCGGGAAAGGATTTACCACGCGGGCGGAGGGGGGGCGGGGCGTCCAGCGTTTTTTGTTTGTTTGTGTTTTCAGTGATTTCAGTATGTATGCCAAGCCGGTGCGAATACACGAACATATAGCTAGGCTGTCACGGAATGAAATTTTGCGTGTTCCAGGGTAGAGGATTGCGCTGGCTATCTTGTCGTTTTGACCCTTATCCTCGTGCCTGATGCTGTGTCGAGCCCGCGATCCCGGTGGAGTCGACTTTCTCTCTCTCTTTGCCCCGTCTCCGTCTGTCTGTCTGTGCGTGAGTCTCTCTCTCCTCCCTCCCTGTGTGTGTGGTGCTGTAATGGTGCGGAAGAGGAGGTGCTGGATCGCAGCGAGTGTTCCAGTTCATGTCTTGCGAACGTTTTGCATCCTACGGCCACAATAGAACACGTGCAACAACGACCGCCAGTTCCGCCACCAACCGCTACGGGCGCGTGTTTGCTCTTGGAAACAATCGCAGGTTAAGGTAAACGACAAGTGCGAGTTCCCGATGGAGCTGGACATGCGCCCGTACACCAAGGAAGGCCTCGCCCGACAGCAGCAGCAGCAGCAGCAAGGGGGGAAGGGCGGGGCAACCGCAGCCGGCACCGCGAAGGCCAGAGGGTCTCCCAGAGAGGAGGAAGGGGAGGTTTTCCCCGACTCGTACTACGAGTACAAGCTCGCGGGCGTCTTGGTGCACATGGGGACGGCCGACTCCGGCCACTACTATAGCTACATCAAGCGCAGGGACACGCAGGTTGGTCGCATGGAGAGTGCGTTTTCGTACGCTAGCACGAGCGTCGGCTCGTTGTTTATGACCCAGGCTACTGCATGCCATGGCTTCAATTCGCGCCTATGGATTCGACACACAGCAAAGGCACGGCTGTCCCGCAAGAGATGCCCTTTTTAAAACCGGGTGTGCTGCATGTATTGCGGGTTTTTGGTTGCGTCGTTTTATCCTCGCTCTCGCTTCAAGTAGGCGTTCTCTTTGTTCTTGGCCCAAATTCTGGCTGCTGGTCCAAGTATGGTGAAGACGGCAAGGCGCGTTTCAAGCTAAATTCGTCTCTGTTGACACCGGCACCTTCCCTCAAACCAACACGTCGTCCTCTCTCGACGTGTGATCCGCTCCCTGCTACTGCTTCTCCTCCCTTTGACACCGGCACCTTCCTCAAACAACACGTTTCCTCTCTCTCAACACGTGAACCCCCTCTCTCCTGCCGCTGCTGCCGCTGCTGCTGCTGCTGCTGCGGCTGCTGCTGCCATGTTCGGCCAGGGAGGCGGCGACATCCCGGCCTCATGGTTCTGCTTCAACGACGCCTCGGTGACCCCGTTCGATCCGGATAGCCTGGGCATGACCTGCCATGGGGGTTACTCCATCAGCCCCACCGGCCGCGGCCACACGCCCAAGCAGTTCTCCGCCTACATGCTCATCTATGAGCGCGAGTTCATCCTGCCGAACCCAGCGGCCCCGGCTACCCCATCTCCGACGGCGGATGCTGCCGCAGCGCCTCACGACGGCGGCGGCGAAACATCATCGGGGACTGTCAGCGGCGGCGACGTTGCTGCCTCGCCTTGTAGAACGCCGTCGCGAGCCGCCGCCGCGGCGGCGCCCTCAAACGGCGGCACCGTAAAAGCGGCTGCGGTTGCTGTTGTCGCAGACTCCTCTGCTGCGGCCTGGAATAAAGGAGAGGCCGTGCGTACAACCCCCCATCGCGGCGGCACCCCCGCTGAAAACGGCAAACCGACGGGAGTGGAGGACATGGAGGTCGGGGCGGAGGGGGAGGCGGCGGGTGGAGGGGGACGGGGGGGGAGCAAGGGCGACGCCGAAAAGGCGGCGATGAGGGAGTTGGTAGCGGGGGGGAGAGGGGAGGCGGTGTCGCCGGGTGGGGCGGGGGACGAGTGGGAGCCCCCGTGGATGGGAGTGCCTCGGCCTTCGGAGCTCGTGCCCCCTTCGATTTTCCAGGTATTATTTTGTCTCTTTTAGGCAGGGGGGGGGGTACAAGAGAGAAGGGGGGCACGATTGATCTTGTCTCGTGTATTTTGCATGTTTAGGGACGGTATCGTGTCGTTAATCCACCCGGTCCCCATCTTTTTTGCAAAGGAGGCCCATGGTTTTTCCATTCCTCGTTAAGCGAGCGCTCTTTTTTGTTTGTAGCGTGTGGTAAAAATGGCAAAAAGTAGCGTCCGATATTTCCATGGGGAGCCTGTGTTTGTGTGCAGGAAGTGGCAACGGTCTGTCTATCTTGCGAGAAAGATACAGTGCGAGGGCCGGGACGAACGTACCTGCCGAATGTGAAAGGTTTGGTTAGCCGGGATGCCGCGTCAACCCATGGCATCTACCTCTGGTTTGGAACGGCAAACTCAAGGACGATGACCAGCTTCTGGTTCATCCCTGTGAAACGTAGATAGCCGGGCCGGCGAAAACCCGGCAGCTTGCTCCGTCTCGGCATTATAGCGATGCGAGCTAACGAACATGCGTGTACATGATTTCCCCCCCCCGCCCCCCACTCTCCTCCCCCCCCGCTCGTCGGCGTTGGGTTTTCGTCGTCGCTTGGCAACGACGTTGTAAAACAAGCCAATTCACTTCGTGAACTCGGCAACCAGGGTACCGTTTTTTTTTACCTCCGGTTTTTTTTTGGCGGTAACCATAATGGTGGTAGAGTAGATCATGTTGTGCGGGGTGGAGAAGCCTCACTCCGCGCAAGGGGGATGATCGCACCACGTGGTGTTATAATGGTCAAGACCCTCGAGGCAGTTTCGCAGTGCTTACAACTGTCTCTGGAAGTGAAAGCACCAGAAAATAAATTGAGTCATACGCAGCTGTCATCCGTACGCAAGGAAGTAAGCACAAGATGCCGAACACCCTCAGCAGGATGCAGCGCACCCTTCATGCGACTCGTCGAATACCTCACGGCGCTTCGCGCTTGGTGATGTGAGAGCCTGGTCCGGTGAGACCCCGGCGTGCTCCGTCCCGGCTTTGTAGGGATGCGAGGTCAATGGTCTAACGACTACGGCATGCACGACTATGAGTACACCCCCGCCCCCCCCTCGCCCCCCCCTCGCGGGCGTGAAAAAAAAACACCAGGCCTGCTGGATGGAAAACCGCCTCTTCCTGATGGACAAGAACGTCTTCAGCTCCGAGTACCTGGACTGGGTGTGCGACCTGACGGCGCTCGTGCCTCCCCCCAGGGTCCCGCCGAGCGGCAGCGGCAGCGCCGAAGGCGCTCGCATCGCTACGGGGGGTGATGACGTTGACGAGGTGGAGCTTTCGACGGCAAAGGTGGCGCTGTTCTTGGCGCTCGACACGGTTGCGCGAGCTAAGGACAAGGAGAGGCTGTCCCAACTGATGGGCTACGCCAAGAGATGGTTCCGCGCCAGCCCGACCGTGTGCCGGTGGGCGCTCGAGCAGGCGAGTCATTGTTAGCTTTGATTGTTCGTAAGGGGTTGTTGTTGTTGTTGGTGGTGGTGGCGGTGCTGCTGCTGCTGCTGCTGCTGCTGTTGTTATTTTCTGTTGTTGCAGCCTTGATCTTACAACTGTTTCTGGCCAGTGCATTGACTCTCTTGCACAGCAAAGCGACGAGTTTCCGTACCCACTAGCCAACGCAAGCGTAGAGGTACAAATGACAAGAAAAATGATAAGACCGGCGGAGTGAGTCCCACGGCGTATAGCCTTTGGTGCACCGCAAACCGGCTGGTGGAAATGGCGGCACCGCCGCTCTTCGAATTGACTATCGAAGAGGCGCCCTGGATCCGCGTGTTTCCCCCGTGGAGGCGTTCTTTCCGCGTTCGACCGCGCGAGCCCCGCCGTCAGCGAGCAGTAGGCACACTCTAATGATGCCCTGCCCCCCCCACCCGTCCTTGTCCCCCCATCTCGGCTCTTGTTTGTGTGTCAACTCTTATCAGATGACGGCGAACAACTACTGGCAGCACACTATGCTGCTCCGCTGCAGCCTCCAAGGGGTGCGATTCGAGTTCCTGCACCTCTGCGTCGACCTTGTCCGGTCCTACGCCCCCTACGAGCGACACAAGTACTACGAGGAAGACCCCTCGATCGGGGCAAACCTCTACCTTGCAGCCGTCAGGCAGCAGCAGCAGCAGCAGCGGAAGGGGCAGCGGAGACGGGGGGAGGGGGGCGCGGAGGGCGGCGGCGGGGGGGGTGCCGGCGGCGGCGCGAGTGCGGCTCGGGGAGTGGCGGCCGGGGACTCTCAGGTGTGGTTAGATGTGAAGTCGATGTTGCTGTGTTCGTTTTGTTTTTTTGAAGGTTGTAGTTCGGGGTGGGGTGGTGGAATTTATGGTTGTGCCGGCGGCGATGGTGCTGTTGTTGTTTGGATGTTGATGCCCGTATCGGGCTGGGGAAACGGACGGCTTGTGCATGCAATCTCAACCGTGTAGGTGCATTCTGCAGGAGATGGGAATCAACGACGATCGGAAAAAGGGAAGGAATGAGGGGCGACGACGAATATTTTTCGCGTTTTTCTTTCGGCGCCCAACCAACAGTCTTGCCGCAGTTTGAGCGATAGCGGTTGGTTTGTTGTTGCATCCGTTGGTATTCTTGACCTATGTTGTCTTTGGGCCGAAGCTGCCTTGTCGGGAGAGCCCCCGCCACCTTCATCGCGTTTTGCGCTCATGCAACTGCTACTACTGCTGCTGCTGCTGCTGCTGCTGCTGTTGCTGCTGCTGCTGCTGCTGCTGCCAATGTTGCTCCCCGATTGCGTCATATGCCAGGTGACGCCGGGCCGAATAGGGGTCAGCGGGGGCGGCGGCGGGGGGGGCATGACAGTCATGGACGTCATGCGCGAGTCCGAGAAGGCGGTGATGTCTGAAACCATGACGTCTGCGGAGGTAGATACACGGGGCGATGCTCTTTCTAGTCTAACAATAGTTTTGCACGCGCGCGACTTACGAGTGCATTGTTTGAAGTGGCGGAATTCGTCCCCCGATGGGCGACCTCCGCAAATGTATATACACAGCAGTTGGGTGCCCTCAATTGTGCGGGCGTGTGCCGAGCGCTTTCACCCACTATAGCTGGTATCCGCACTATATTCAATGTATTAAACGATCTTGATACATTTTTCCAACTGTGCCAGCCAATTTAACCCGCACTCTACCGGTCACCCGTACTAACGGGGGCATCTGACCGAAGATCGTTTCTTTTCCACGGAAGTGATGCACCAAGCACAACTGCTGCTTCATGAACAACATATTTCTGCGCCGTACCGCAGGCCGTCTTGGCCAGCGCTGGGTTATCGACCAAGGACAGCACGTTGGTGGTGCCGGCGGGGCAGTATCGGCGGATGGGAGGAGTCTTGGGCTCGGAATCGTCGTTCTCGTCGAACGATTCCCCCGGCTCCACTGGCGGCAGATCTGATGTATGTCTGTCTTCTTTTTTACCTCGCTAAAAAAAAGCAAAGTACGAACACAACGAACCCATCTCAATCCATAGATGCGAGTCCAGGATTAGCAATGAATACTTGGGGCTGTCTTGTTTTGTACTTTTTTGCACAGTGTTGTTACTAGGCAATATGTATTCGTTTCTGTAATGTAACGATTTCCTGTTTTTTTTATTCCGTGTGCGTGTCGTCTTCGGTTGATCGGTGTACTTGGTTTGGTCATAAGTCCTTATTTTTAGCTTTCCGAAAAGAAGAATCGACGTGTGCGAGGTAGAATGCTATCTTACCGCCACCCCGCCGCTAGTCCGACAACAGTGTGCGAGGCATGCCCAAGTTAACCTGATGACCGCAACGGTTGTCCCTTCAACGTGACCCCCGATTTCAGCTCGTTCCCAGCGACGACGCCCAGTTCGGCGACCATGACGAAGACTGGGCGCGTCCCCCCAACTCCCCCAACGCCTCCCCGTACATAGAAAACCACGTCGATCTCGATGGCGACGACGATGACGATGACGATGACGATGGTACGATTCCGGTTCACTACGGCGCGGATGAGTGCCATGGCCGGGGTCAGAGAGAAGATGAAGGCGACGACGAAGGTATGCTGGCGCTGTTGCCGAGAAGGGTGGCACGAGATCCGATGGAGGAAGACTTCGACGACGATGACGCTAGTGATGGCGACGACGAGGGACAGGCTATAGCAGAAGAGCACTGCAGTGGTGGAGCTGGCGGGGGCCCGTCGATCAAGCGGGAGTTGTCCGCCATGGTGCAGGAGCTGGGACCGGAGACAGAGGACGAGGAGCTCGCGGAAGGGGGAGGGCTTGGTAGCCGATCAACGTCTCCGTCGTTGTCGTCATCGTCTTCGTCAGAAGAAGGGCCTTCGGCTTCGGCGGCGGTGGCGGCGGCGGCGGCGGCGGCGCGTTCCTCACTCTCTCTTCGTCGGTCGTCGCTACCTCAGACCCCGGCGGCGGCGGCGGCGGCGGCGGCGGCTTTGCGCGGCTTGTCGGAAGAGGAAGAGATAACCCCAGGCAGGGACGGGTACGGACAATGGCCGCCATCCCCAACGGCGCCGGAGGCCGGTGTTGGTGGCGGTACTCCTGGCGCGACCGCCCCGGCTGCCGCTACTGGTGCTGATTCCGGAGGAGTCGGGACGGGTGTAGACGCGGCGACCGCAGGCGCGAGCCCCGCCATCGCTGCCGGCGGCGTCACCGGCGGCGGTGGCGACGGCGGTGACGGGGGTAGCCGACGGACGGGGGGGCAAGGGGAGTGCAACGGCTGCGAGGTTAACGCCGTCAACGCGGACGAGGACGACGCCGACGAGGACGACTCCATGTCCGAGGCCAATCAGAGGGTCCTGGCGGCGAAGACGAGGACGCGGCGAGTGGGCCTGGCCGTGATAACCAGGCTAGGGAAGCGGGCCGCCGCCGCCGCCGCCCCGCGGCACGATGGCTCTGGTCATGGTGTCAGCAGCGGCGGCGCCGAAGGCGAAGTCGGCGCGACGAAACCGGCGGAGGCACCGGCGACGGTGGGAGCAAGTGAGGAGGAGCAGCAGCGGCGGGAAGAGCGCCCTCAAGGGGCGCAATCGAAACCGGTTGGGAGCGTGGGCGGTTGTAGCAGTGCGCCGAACGGGGACGCGACGGGCTCGTCGAAGAAGCGGCCTCTGTCAGCGTTGGGGTTGCTGCCCCCCAGCGGCTGTCGCCGCGAGGCGGCGTCGGGGAAGAGGAGGGTTGGGGAGCAGGGGGCGAAAGTGCCGTCGTCGCTGTCGTCGCTGTCATCGTTGTCTGACGACGGTCAGCCACAGGTGCACGAGGCGGGGCCAGCCAGATTTTGTCGTTCCGTTTCGTTTTGGTCGGGCCGCATCTATACGTTTTTTACCTGTTCTGTGCGTGAGTCAGTTCCGACGTGGCACCAAGGAGCGGTTGTGCAGAACGCAGAGATGCTAGTTTTGTGAATTCACGAGATTCTCTTTTTCGTTTGGCCCCTCTCGAACTGCTAGATTTTTTCCTTTTCTATGCACCGGTCAGATTGTGTCCGAGCATCGGAGTATATTGTGTTGCGCGTGAACGCATGCTGACAAAGATGAAGGATTGGGCTTGAAGGAGGGACGACTGTGTATGGAGTACCAGGTAGACGTGACGAACAAACCGCTTGAACTCCTCGCTGCTCGCTACGCCATCATGGCATCACTCGGAGGATACAGTGAGCGCCAAAGCACGCTCGCGAAGCACAGCATTTAACATGAAGGCATCGGTTGAACTCACCGTCGTCGTTTTTTTTTTTAAATACAGAAACACGACGGATCAATTCATCTCTACCCACAGGCCGGCACAAATTAGCAATGAATTCATAGCGTTAGCGGACACACTGCCTCTGTGTTTCTTTCCGTTTCCCTGCCGCCGTCGCGAAAAAATATGAATGAAAACAAAATTAATCACCCTCCTTTGACTCGCGCTCACTCGAGGTGCAGCCATCCAGCGCGGACGTGGAGGACGTCCTATTCGAGGAGGTCCCGAGGCGACTGAGGTGGTGGAACTCCGTGGCTCTCGTGCCGCGCTTCGTCGGCACCATTCTCGACCTTTTGCACGAGGTATATTGTCGTTGTTGCTGTTGCTGTTGTTGCTGTTGCTGTTGCTGGTACTGGGGTGTTGTCGTCGTCGTCGTTGTTGCTGTTGGTGTTACTGGGGTCTTGTCGTCGTCGTCGTTGTTGCTGTTGGTGGTACTGGGGCGTTGTCGTCGTCGTCGTTGTTGCTGTTGGTGGTACTGGGGTGTTGTCGTCGTCGTCGTTGTTGCTGTTGGTGGTACTGGGGTGTTGTCGTGTTCGCCACGGCTGTGGCCCTGGGCACGGCCGTCGCTGTTGTTGGCATTGCCCTTGAAAAACAAGTCTGTCCCGCGGTGTCTTCGTCGCTACGTCTGCTGATGCTACTGCTGCTGTTGGTCGCTGCTGCTGCAGTTGCACTCTTCCAGCGACAGGGGCACCAGCGGCCTCAGGTCATCGAAGGTTAGCGGCTGCGACCCCAGCCCCCGCAGGACGTGCGTGGTGCAGAGGCGCAAGCAGTCGGAGCACCTGTTCGGACTCCTGCTGGAGATTGGTCGCATCAGCCACGCGGAAACCAGGCTGCTTTTGCGCGCAGGGACGATCCCGAGGTACGCTACGGCACTTACTCGACGTTCGTGCACGCGGCTCGGGGGTATACCATTGCAGGTGTACAGTCTTGGAGGCGATTGATAGGTTAGAGAGCGCTCACTGCTGTGTTCGCAAATACTCTTGCCTCAGGAAGGTGTAACTGAAAATATATACAGATAGAAAGAGCTCTTGGGGGAAGTAACTTTTTGGAGTAGATATGGTCGACACGTTTCTTTGAAGGTATGTGTGCATGAAAACGTTCATGATTCCCATGTGGGTCTGGTCCCCTGGGGGCCACGTGCTGGACTTCTTCGTACTACGTGGTACAGGCCTACCCGCCCCCCCCTCTTTTGACCATCACATGTGCGTCGGTCCTTACACCTTCGAGCACAATTCTGGGTCAACGAGCCGCCATGAGAACGGCAGGCCACACAGGAATCTCTTTCCGCCTTTCTCTTCTGCGGTGCTTGCATCGACTTTGTGTCGCGATAAGCATTCTTCATCCGTTCCTTGGCCCCCTTTGGACGCAGTAGTCTTGCTCCGACTTGTTGAACAGTACCCCTTTCTTCGCATAGACGCACTTTCCCGATGACGATGACGACTATGCCATCACCACCGACAAGCATCCAGCGACGACGCCCCCCCCCCCCCCCCCCCC